CAAAGGGTTTCAAACCTTAAACAACAAAAGCAAAAAGAAAGCAAAACTAAATGGAGCTTATCATAAGTGTAGAAACAGTTATGTTGCTAACACTTCTCTCTTTATGATACTCAGAATGGCCACTAGTATAAGAAACTGGTATGATCTTTTCCAGTCATTTAACCTCTTTGAGTCTCAATTTGTTCCCCTGAAAAAATGGGGTCATTATTACCAAACTCAAAGGTACCTAAAACTTAACATATTCATTGCCTAGAGCATTAAATTAATCTCTCTCTCTTCCTCTACCCCCACTCTTCTCTCTTCTCACTGTCTCCTTCTTTTTCCCCACTCTCTTTCCCTCTCTCCTTGTCTCCTGACACATAACAGGAACTCAATGAAAATAAGTTTTGTTTTGTTTTTTCTCATCACAATTAAATGATAATGAATGGCCCAGTGTGCAGACAAATATACTTATTTTAAAAATGGCTTTAATTTAGAATGAATACTCCTGATATGCAAAGATAAAGACTAATGTCTACTTCTGAAGAATGCCTACTATAATAGTTCTAGTAGAACAATTGTTTGTAATTCTAGCCACAAAGATATTTATTAGAATAAGCTCTTGTCCTTTCCATTTTGAAAAACATTGATGTAGAGTGACCTCCTGATAAGAAATACTGGTTATAATTCCCAAATAACTTTGAAATTTAAGTACATTTCCTCTGGCAGCCTGGTAACAATCATCATATTGAAGGACAGAGATTCTTAATTCAAATAGATAGTGTTAGTTAATTATAGACAAGATAAAAACCAATCTTGAAGTAGTTAATTTGCTAAAAGTTGGTCCTGTTTCCAAGTTCAGATTTAAGTTTATAACTTGTAAATAATATTCCTCAAATGATATTTTCCCAAGTAAAGAACTAAAACACTGTATCCATTCTAGAAAAGCACCTTTAGAAATTTCATTACTGTTCATATTATTGATCCCATTCTGCTTTCAGGGCCAAAATGTTTAGCAAGACTATTTCAGGGACCTGGACAGGACATTTTCATTGGCAACGAGACAATGGATTACCCTGAGTTCAAGCGAGAAGACACAGTAGCCAGGTCTATATCACTCTAACACCCTTCTGATGTGCAGTACAGATGGCGAGATATGTTGACGATGAAGTTATCTCAGCAGCAGTGTTATCTTATTAGTCCCACCATGCATTTTAGTTGAATGACCTATCAAACATGGCTGTCTCATGACAACTGGACAGATTTATAACAAAACGGGACCCTTTAGAAAGCTGTGAATATAGATTCCTTTCTCATAGCCTTGACTTCTAATTTGTAAGAACCATCCAACCAGGTCTGAGTTGGGTAGGGGAAGGAAAGAGCATGCAGAGAGATTGGGAGAATATATGCAAACAAAATAATCTCAAATTACTAAGAGTACATCATAGAGAATATAGTCAATGATACTGTAATAGCATTGTATGGTGACAGATGGTACATACATTTGTGGTGAGCATAGTGTAACATATAGAGATGTTGAATTACTAAATTGTATGCCTGAAACTAATGTCACATTGTGTGTCAACTATAGGAGTTATAGGGTGAACTGAATTTTGGGGGGGGGGGGGGTGTGAAAAATGCTAACTTAAATTTGAATTATCTAAGATAGTTTCTTTACATACCCAGAATCTATGAAGAACTTGGAGTTTGTTACCAGACAACTTCTCCACTGTTTCTCTTTTACAGGAGACAGTCTGGTAGAGAAAAGCACTGGATTATGGGCCACAGCAATTGGGCTTTTGTGTGACCTTGACCATGTTATCCAAACTTTGGGGGTATCAGTTTCCTCACTTGGAAAATGAGAGTGAGTAAATGAACTAAATATTCTCATAATTATTAAATTTTGCCTTTCTGCTCACTACCCTTGACCTCCACTCTTATGAATAGGAATATTTTAAATTTACTGAAAAGTAATAGAACACAGTGCTAAATTCTCAGTCTCTACAATTACACAGACTTATATTTAATTTTGTTTTCAATGCATACATTTATATGGTCTTCTCCACATCACTATTACTCAATATAAATTGAGTCTTAGAATCCTTGTCTATAAAATGGAGATGATAATAGAATTCAACATGAAGTTGTTCTTAGATTCATTTATTTTTTCTTTCATTGCACTCTCCACCTTCTACCTAATTTACCACCTGCAAGGTCCATAAAGGTAGTGAGTATTATCTGTTTCATTCACTGACATATCCCAACCATCTTAATGTATTACAGCCAGTCAGTATCTATCAAATAAATAAATGAAACAACACATGTATAGAGCTTAGAGTAGTAATTGGCACAAAACAGTTCATAAATTATTCTACAAATGGTCTTGATAAATGGTTTTATTAATACCTAGAGTGCCATTTCACCATGAAGAAGTAGAAAAGGAAGAAGTAGGAACATCCCAAAGGGAAGATGAAGGGGACCGACCATCATACTGTTACCAAACATCTGAAAGACTATCACGTTACTTTCAAAGAAAAGAATATGAGCCAAGAGGTGGAAACTATAGGAACCTATTTTTTTAAGTCGTAAGTAAGAATGGCTTTTCTAACAAAACTCCTCTAAGGTGAAATGAACTGGTGCTCAAGTAAATGTTGAATTATTATTAGCCAATTAATGAAGTGATTAAGAAACCTAAGTAAAAGTTATGCATCTCTTATTCCATGAATTAAATGATATGGAGAGAACTTCCAATAAATGACATATACAAAATAAATTTTAAAAATATAAAATAGGGACACCTGGATGTCTCAGTCAGTAGAGTGTGCAGCTGTTGATCTTGGGGTTGTAAGTTTGAGCTCTACATTGGGTGTAGAGATTACTTAAAAATAACATATATATAGATATATAACATATATCTGTATATATAAAATATAGAATTTTGGCCTTGTGGTACTGTTGGTAATAAAAAATATAGATGGAATATGGCAAATATAGTGAATACCTACCTATTTTCCTTGTGTACATGTGATCAAAAACTATTTACATGTTGACAAATCATATAGCTAAAAAACAAATACTGCCGATTTGTCTCTTTAATGTTGGCAAAGTAGCAGATAGGAGCTACAGAATCTCTTATACCCTAGAAGGAAAACAGGATGGTTTAAAGCTAGCTTCTTTATTTCCTTTTCTTTTTACCCCAGTGGTAACACTGCACTTTAGAATTTAATATTGGCAGTGAGAATGTTCCTGGGTTGTATGAAACTAACTGGTGCATCACTCTTGCCAACTAGGGATGATTTTAGATGAAATGTATGACATCAGTGAAAAAGGAATCTCACTCAATATCATTTTTATGAAGGATAGTTGGCCTCATACTAAAATAGTCCCATCAATCTATTGCCATCAGGTCAGACAGAAAAGCATTAGGTACATAAAGTGGCTGTCATAAAATGTAGCCAAGCAGGAGCCAAGTCTGATCACAGAAGGTCAGTTAAGCATTTAGAAAATAAAGGAAGCATGTTTTCTTTAACGAGCCATTAAAAATTACTAACAAGTGAGTTAGCGTTCTATTGTGGACAGAAATACTGAGAAAGATGCAGTGGTTCTGAAGGTTTTCTCTATTTTTTTATAAATTTTTTTTCAACGTTTATTTATTTTTGGGACAGAGAGAGACAGAGCATGAACGGGGGAGGAGCAGAGAGAGAGGGAGACACAGAATCGGAAACAGGCTCCAGGCTCTGAGCCATCAGCCCAGAGCCCGACGCGGGGCTCGAACTCACGGACCGAGAGATTGTGACCTGGCTGAAGTCGGACGCTTAACCGACTGCACCACCCAGGCGCCCCTAGGTTTTCTCTATTTTTTAATTGGCTGCCTACTAAAACAAGATATGCAATAACAAAACTTTTTAAAGTTATAGAATAGTGAACTGCATCCATAAAGTCAAACTATGGGGTCTTTTTACTAACTGTGATGGCTAATCTCACGTGACAATTTACTGGGTCAGGGGATGCCCAGATATTTGGCTAAACATTATTCTGGGTGTGTCTATGAGGGTGTTTCCAGGTGAGATTAACATATATATCAATAGACTAAGTGGTGAAACTTGATTCCCTAATGTGGGTGGCCCTCATCCAACCTATTGAAGACCTGAGTAGAATAAAAAAGAATGAATAAGAGGGAACTCTTCCTTCATGAATGCTTGAATTGGGACATTGGTCTTTTCTGGCCTTCAGAACTGAACCCAAACATCTGCTCTTCTTGGGTCCCAAGTCTGCCAGCTTTCAGACCAGAACTGTACCATTGGTTCTGAGTATCTCTTTCTCTTTACACACACACACACACACACACACACACACACACACACACTACTATTTCTATTTTTCTAAGAGAAGTCTAACATTCTGATTCAATAGCATCAGCAGGGAATAAGCCAAGTTGTGCCAATCAAATGAATTATCCAAATAATTAAAGTCAATCCCTGTAGAAGTTAATGTTTTAGAAACTTGTCTGGTAACAGTGTAGATGATCAGGCAATGTAATAACACTTTTGTAATGTAAAATAATGAATCCATTTCCAATGCTTTTAAAAATTAGTCCTGAAGGAATTCCTCACTTTCAAACTTAAAATTCTAGGATTCTATATTATAGAAACAAGTTTATATAACTCTTTTTAAAATCAATTTCAAAAGCAACAGCAAAAAGTCTCAAAGTGTTTATTTCCTGAGGGAATGATGAAATTATCCAATTCTCTAAGAACCCATCTCATTTCCTTACAGCCATTTTTTTTAAGACTTAAGTAATCATTATCTCATGTGTTGATTCCTGTTATCATCATTAATCAGCACATGGCAAATCTACTTATTTTCCATGATTATTTCCAGGCTTTGCTGTTTTATGATATTTAAGTTCTACTTCTACTACACAGATTAAATTTCCAAAGCATCTGTCCTTATGCACCAAAATACACCATTTTATATTGCCAAATTATTACCTTCATGTGAATTTTCTCATTGCCACTCACCTGCCCAGAAGCAAAAATTCTCCTGCTAGACCCAGGCGCCTCATGGCCATCAGGAGACCTCTCACAGTCATGCCCTCACAGAAGCAGGCCACCACCCGGGCTTTGGGCAAGTGACTCCTGAGCTTCTTCAGCAGCTTATCGAAACTCTGTTCCCCTGCGTTGCTGTAGATTTTGTAAGAATGAGCGATGCAAATTCCTTCCTTGGCTGACATATCTTTGAAAGCCTCCATCCCACTTTCTCCATAGTTGCCTGTGTGAAAAGAGATAAGTAGAGGGGTAGTGAATGAGAGTGCCGGATGCACTGAGTCCAATTAGAGTGCGAAGGGCTGGGAGCATGATGGTCATTTGGTAGTGTTGAACTTGGAGCCTGAAGACCTGAATAAGTTTTTGCTCTTTCACTAACTTGTTCACTTTAGGCAATTTACAATGAAATTACATTACATGCATTGAACTTTAAACATTTTTTTCCAATGAGAGAGAAAATAGTATAAAAAGCACAAGCAAAAGCAATTCAGCTCCCCCTTTACTTAAAAAGTTCATATTCTAGTGTGAGATGATAGAAGACTTTCATCTGCTGTATTTTTATTCTATCTCACTTCCCTTTGCTTCTCACTGCATGACCGTCTCATCCCACCAGATCAGACTCTTGTATTTAAAGATATAATACATATACTAAATATAGTATAGATGTTGTTGTAGAATATTATATGTTGTGTGGTATTATATTTTTATAGAATATTATGCATATTATATTCTATTAGCAATCATAAGTATTAGTGGCTTTATCCCAACCAAAAAATTCCAGATCATTGAGATTTCAGTCTTGTTACAGATAAATGTATAAGCTTATGAAAAATATTTAAATTTTCATTCTACACAACCACAGAGAAGTTAGTGATTTGGGGGAATAATTCCAATGTCCTCTGCAAATTTGGGGAGCCAAGGACCTATGGTGGTCCTTTAAATTAATGGAAAGTGGTGATCAATACTGACAATCAACTGTATGCCAGGAAGTGTACCAAGACCTTTATATATGTGGTCTCACTTATCTCTCACGATAATATACTGAGGTATGCATTATGACCTCCATTCTGCAGATAAGAAAACAGATGAGATGGTTAGGTTTACACTTACTCAAAGTTACATACCCAGAAGGTGGAAGGCTGCACCGAATTCTCAAATCTAAGAGTGCAGATTCTGCTCCCTCCACTCATCCATGGCTGACTTTTGGAAGACTCAGAAGCCCAATTATATCTACATTTCTTTTTCTGATATAAAGGTCATGATACTTCAATTTTCGATATTTTTAGAGCATTTTAAGGCTTTATAAATCATAACAGGCTTGTTTTCTGAGTTTCCAAAAGATTAGGCGGATAAGGGGGAAAGATTTTAAGAATATAGGAGCCTATTACAAGACAACCAAGCTATGGGGCACATAAGGATGTAACTAGCCTAACAATCAACTAGACCGAGGATTGGAATTTCACCATGAGGGGATCTCAAATGAATAAAGAAGTACAAGGCATTCAATTGCATTGGCTTCACTATATGAGTAGAGTAGAGATAACTTATAAATACATATATCTATATAACATTTTGATTTTTGAAGTCTGTTCATACAGATTACAGCTCACTGCTCCTTGTACCAACTCTGTGATAGAGGTAATATTATCTTCCAATTCCACTCACAACTGATAAAATTGAAGTTCACACTTAGCAAATAGGTGGCAGAGTCTTGGTTTAAACATAGATCTTCTCACTCCTGACCCTGTGTATGTTTTCCTACAGCACAGGTATTTTGCTGCAAATGAGATCCTCAGACACTGAGGGTGGTTTTTGTGTAGTTTTATCTTCATGAATAAACTGTAAAGGGCAGGGCAGGACAGTTTAAGTCCCGACCACAAATACTGATGGGACAGCTGCATCTTTCCTTTTTCTCCAGAAATAAAATAACAAGGAACCTCGATGATGATGGCAAGTGGGCAATATAGCTATTTTGCAATTAACAAAGTTTAAAGGACCCCCTCTGAAAAATGTGCCCAAGGGCCTTAATTACTAGCTTTACACTAATCTGAGTAATCTATTATTCTCTGGTTTATTTTTAGCGACCTCTATTTTTCAACTGACTATCTTGCACTTAATACTATCATTAATGCTGGGGTATTTGCATACATAATGTGAAATTAGGTACACAGTGATCGTGATGACAATAATAAAAGTTCTCAATATATTCACAGTTAAACAAGAAAAAATATCTGACAAACCCATAATCTTTAGCACTTCTCCCAACAACACTTTAACATTGTTTTTGTTTATACAGTAAATTATATGGAAGCAGCTTGTAATAGGGAGAGAATCTTGTTATTAGAGAGATCTGAGTTCTAATTTAGCTTGGACAGTCTCTCTAAATCTAGCTTTTTCACCTGAAAATCAGAGGTAACACTGCTTAATATATGGATATTTTGTATATTATATACGTTAAACATTATATCTAGTTTAAATATGATAAGAAATGCTTATAATTATTATTTTATAATTATATATAATTGTTATTATACAATATTATATATAACAATAAACATTATACATAATTATAATATATATTATAAAACAATATATGTTAAATATACAACATATCTAACAGGTAGCCTGAACCCAATTAATTGCACCTATTGGGACTATAGAATGTTCTAGGTACAGTTAAACTGCTCTCTCCTGGAGCATCTAAAACAAATAATGGAGCAAACAGCATTAACACTCAACATTGGATTAAAGAATGAACTTAAATTAGTTGGGGAAATATGATTTTCTGAGAACAAAACCCAAGCAGTACTCTTTAAAACTAAAATTGGAAATAGTTTCATTATATGTGTGACATGAAAATTCTGCAGAATAATTTTGATTTAATAAAAGCAAGCCATGGTAATTTGGATATTAAAAATGGGAATATGCATTTCATTCATTCCAATAAAATTTGGAGGCCTGAAATGTTGAGATTTTCTGTAACTGATATAAAGACTATATTCTGGAATTACACACTTAAAGATAAAGGAGAGGAGCACCTGGGTGGCTCAGTTAGTTAAGCATCCAACTCTTAATCTTGGCTCTGGTCAGGATCTCAGTTCATGGAATCAAGCCCTGTGTTGGGCTCTGCGTTGACAGTGTGGAGCCTGCTTGGGATTCTCTCTCTCCCTCTCTTTCTCTCTGCCCCTCCCCAGCTCATCTGGGCGCACACTCTCCCTCTCTCTCAAAATAAAGACATATTTAAAATAAATAAATAAATAAATAAAAATAAAAATAAAGGGGAAACTATTAAAAAGTTCATAAATTTATTACAGGAAATGAAATAGATTTCAAGCAATGCACAGAATGAGAAAGAACTAAGGAAACAAAGCTTATTTTTCTAACAGGGAAATAAAAGTGACAAAGGAAGATATGGTATAGAATATTAAAGTGGTTTGTGGCTTCATTTTAAGTAACTGGTAAAAGCAGGAAGGAATCCATCGGACACTCTTTTAAACAGCAAAGGGCTGGTGATTTGGAATTATCTGAAGAAAATATAATCATAGCTTTACTGGGCTCTTAGCTTGCATTACTTATAGTTGCAATAATGCAAACGCCTATTACTGATTTTCAACTTTATGAATCTACATATAGACAAAGTAAAAAACTCATTATGCAACAGAAATAAATCTGATGAACCTTTACAAAAAAAATAAAGAAAAAGATGATAGGTTGAGAAGTGGAAGTAGGGTGAGCTTGGGTGTTGAAATCCTTCACGCACAATCTGGAAGTCATGATTTAGAGAATGAAAGAGAAATGGTTAAGAGAATTGTTGGAATCTCAAAAATAAGAAACTGATCTATTAATGTAATTATATTAAGGGAAGATACGTGAATTAAGAGATGTCTGTTGTCCATAAATTAAAAAGTAGGCACTAAAAAAGCATATGTTCCCACTCAGAAATATGAAGGTAAAAAAAAGAAAAAGAACCTTAAAATGCACTTTTTACCCTTCTGTACTATTAGATTTTGAAAAATATAAAGTACAAGTTTGAGTGAAGAAAATTTAATAACATAATTTAAAGTTATTGAAATTGAAAAGAAGATATGGACAATTGTAAATAGTTGCTTTCACTGGTACTATTTGACCTATGTCATGTTGGCTGCAAGTACCTGCATCCATTTGGGCCTCCAAAGTGCACACTGAAAACAAAACTGGCTAAAGAATAAGTTTAAATCTTTCTAACCTAGGATTATTTATTTGAACTTTATGTTTAAAGGCACTAAACAATCCTTTAGTATATAATGTATAATCAAAGATAACGGCTCTTTCTGATGGTACCAATCAGTATCAGTAACCACTGCTGTTACTGAGGCTTAAACATACTTTCATATTAAGGTAATAAAGTATGGCAATATAAACAGGATATATCTAGAAACGAAGAGATTTTCTTGGCACAATATACATTTGAGATATGGTTCACGTTTATAAATTGTGTGTGTGTTGGGGGAAATTATCATAAGAATAAAAATTAAATTAATAGAATTATACTAAAAAGACTCAAATACTTTTCTTTGACATTTGTTTATTTTTTTTTCCATTGTACTCCTACCTCTCCACCATAATCAGACCATCACTATTCCTTCCATAGAAGCTTACATGGTAACATAACCTTTCACCATCTTCTGTCTTCCATTTATTCAAAACCTTACCAAATATTATGTTTACAGGTCTTATTTCTTACTATGCTCTTCTCTATGTCCCTTGGATGCCCAACACATTCATACTTAATCACTTTTATTCATGATGCTCTTTCCACCTGGAATACCCTCTCCTCATGTCTCGATGTTGAAATCTTACCCATTCCTTCTGGTTCACCTCAACTGCCCAGACTGTATACTTATTTAGGATATAGACCATGTCTCCATAACACTGCCCAGCATATACTCGTGGAACTAAGCTGACCTACTCGATTATCCTTTTCAAGGATCTTCCTACAGGGAATAGTGTAGCCTAGTTATTCATTTAATAAATATTAATGAATTAATTAAGTACAGATATAACACTAAGCACATGGTAGACTCTAGATATTTAAACATTTAGCTTATTTATCTATTTTATAATACTGAAGGGAATAATTTTTGTTACTTATAATTGTTAGAGAAGTTTATAATTGTGGTTCATTTACCTAATAACTACTTTTTAAAATGTATTCACCTTAGGAAATTATAATTCACTTTAAAAAAA